TATTCAAAAAATAAAAATATCTACTTTTCATCAACTTACATATTTAAAATAACACTAGTAAAATCCTTGAAAATAATTTATAGTTTAGGCAAAAGCATTTGGAATAAACAATTGTTTGGACAGTTTCTGCACATATTAAGTTTAAGAAAAGAAATCTCTTGTTTGAATACAAGAGAAATGCAATAAAAACTTAGAAGTATCTTATCAGTCATTTTCAAAGAAACATGTATTAGAGAGGTATTACTACCCAAATACAAAATCAAGAGATATATATATATATATATATATATATATATATATATATATATATATATCTTACTTATTATAAAACGCAGATTGTGTGTGTGTCTGTACGTTTATATATTGGTTAAGATTTCCTACATTTTTCAACCGATTTCAACAAAACTTCACAGGACTACGTAAAATTACCTTGAGGTGTTTCTGACAGTGCCAAAAATTGGAAAAACACAATTGTTTTTGCATGAAATCAATTTGAAAACACGATTAAGAGGCATCGCGAGAATGAAAGGGGGACAACTCATATAGAGTTACACTTATTATAAAACCTAGGTTGTTTGCGGGTGTGTGTGTGTTCGTTTATATATGGGATCGGATTTCCTACATTTTTCAACCGATTTCAACAAAACTTCACTTTTTTTTTTTGGCAGGTAGTGTTTCTTATTGTCTTTCACACTTTTTTTTTTTTTATTTTTACATTCAGAATGCTTTAAAAATTCCATTTATAAGACTATTGTTTATAATAAAATTCTATTCAATCGGTAGACTCATAACGATTGAAAACAATGTTTTTGTTTGGGTTTGACCAATTCATAAAAAAAAAAAAACTAATTAAGACATGCGTGTCCATCAACCTTAAACAATAATCTTTGTCAATTTTATTTTTCTGTCTTTATGATGGTCGACACTTGATCTATCTCTTACTGTTACATCCCCGGGCAACACCGGGCTCTACTGCTAGTATATATATATAGACACACACACATGCATATAGTGCGTACAAATGAGGAGTCATTTCTATTACTGTTTTTATAATTATTTCACAGTGTGTATATATTTTTGTGTGTATAAATATATAAGCATCTGGACAATATTCCATTATGTTATTATTGTAATCTAATTATTCTAATCACTTGGCAGCTTATAAAGTGAAGACCTGAATTGCCACTTGCCTTGGAATCAAAACTTAAGCTGCTGCTGCTGCCATCATTATAAGTGCAATGCAATTAAAACTAAAGTCTCTTTGCCATGATTTGCCCTGGCAGATAAACAATGTAAAATGCAAGCCACTTGGAAATTTGATAATCATCTTGCATTATTGTAATTTTTTTTTTTTACATTTTCCTTTTAGCCTAATGATGACATTGGCAATTTAAATTTTGATTTTATTTCAAATTTTATTTCCATCAAGGAGATACTTCATGCTGACATTTCTCACCAGAGGCTAAAAAAAAAAAAATAAAATAAAAATCCAGTGAATTTTAACTACTTTAGGAAGTGAGTTTGAAGGGGGAAGGCCCCCTTCCCCTACCCCCAAACCTTCATGTTGTCGTAGTCTGTCATTTAACTGATTTGCTCTTTTTATCTTAAACCTTAGAGAATCTGTATTGTAGATGAATATTTTTTTAAAAAACAAAAAAGGTAAAAAATGAATCCAAGAAGGCTTATCTGTCTCTCTGGCATATGAATGCTTTCTAATATCCTAATTTCATTTTATGCTGGCGAATTCAATGAGAGTCTTTGATTGATCATTATGGACTTTTAGGTGAAATTATTTACTTCTCTTCAGCTGCAGTTTTACTTAAATACATACATACATACATACATATAAGGCACGTGCTGTCAGTAATTACTCAGGGTAGACAGCTTGTGACCTTTATAAAGTAAATCTACAAAAAAATAAAACATTTTGCATTTTATGCATAATAATCAGTTACCTTCATAATTTTGTTGGATTAGTTGCATATTGTGCCACAGAAGGAAAATGTAGCTGCTGATCTATTTCATTCAGGGTATGCACTGCTTACCTTGCCTACTCAGACAGCATGTCCCTGAGATATATATATATATATATATATATAGATCAAATATGGATTGGGATCTGATAGAATAAGGAACAAATCAGAAACATTTATAAATCTAACATGTTTTTATTAAAACTTCATCAGAGATTGAAATATGGAGAAGACAAAGAAAATTCTGCTATTTTTAATTTATGTTTGTTCATCATTGGTTAAGCAAACCTTGTGTGCCTCCATCTTGTCAAGCAGTGTTTGTGTGTGTATGTGAGTCATAATTTTAATTTGTCTATGTGGAATGATAATGAATATTTGTTTGTGTGTGTATGTGTGTACGAGGCATTTTTCTCTTCCATAATTCATTGTCTGATGAAAATTTAATAAAAGGGAAACATGATAGATTTATAAATGTTTCCTATTTGTTCCTTTTATTTATATATATATATATATATATATATATATATATATATTGTGGATAAATCAAATTTCTAGGCATTAGTAACCATATATACATGCATACACAGGTAAGGAAATAAATACTTTTCTCTCTCTCTCTCTCTATATATATATATATATATATGTATAGCGTTAGATAAATGAGATAACTGGATAACTCACTTTTTGTCTAAATTTATTTTCAAATTTTAATTCTCCGCCTACTCTTATTTTAAGTCATACACCGATTACCTCCCTTTAACCAGTCAAACCGTTTTTATGAACAGATTCCATCATTCAAACTTTAAATTTTAAGCATACTTCAATTCCCCTTTTTTCTCTTATTGAGTCATATCTACACCTCATATCCTGCACTTAAACCCCAGTATTACTTTAGTACTAGTTTTGTACTATTTTAATTTTGAACTATGAACCAGCATCCATCCCATGAGCATCTGTATACTTTTTTTAAAATAAGCAATAAGCTTATGTCTGATGAGTTGGGCAACCAACAAACTTGAGTTGCATACCAAACGTAGGTATATGTGTATCTATCTATATATATATATATATATATATATATATATAGATAGACTACTATTACTACTGTAGGTATACTTTTAAAAAAGTTATCTAGTAGTAAAGGATGTGCATAAGTTTTAAACATTTGAATATATTGCCTTTTGTCATTGTTGTCTGTTTTAACTAATTATAAATCATTGCATTTCTGTTAACATTACCAAAAATGTCATTTGTATTACCTTATTTACACTTGGACTAATGTTCATCTTTGTTACAATCACAACATGTTAGGCATTGTGCCTTCTGAATTGCTTCACGTCTCTGTTAATCCAGGTAACCTTCAGAGAAATTGAACTGAATCTTGCAATCCCAGTCTGTAAAAAAAAAAAAACAACTTTCTTGTGCAAGCTGAAGGACTGATTAGATCCAGTTTCAAATGAATTAATTCCATAAATCTTAAAAGATGACAATCCTTCATCAGACCCTATACACTGGTGCTGGAAAATCACAATCAAGAACTTTACCAAATCATAAAACCCACAGCACTTGAAGACTTCCAACAGCAGCAACAACAAAAATGGATAGCATGTGGAAGCAGAGGAGAAAAACATGACATAATCAAGATGCTGACTTTCTATACTACACTAAACAAAAGGTTTGAAAGGATACTCTTATCAATACTAGAAAGATCTATAACATTTAGTGAACTTGACCAGTTTAATTACCTAAAAATAGTGAACAAAGATAAATTTCATCTGACAATAACATCAAGTGTTTGGTCAGTGAATACCACCTGTTTCCCACATCAAAACAGCTAAGCTTACCTTTATGATCAAAGATGTAATTTTTCTGCTTGTGGCTAGCTGTAAAAGCACAGTGAAATAATAATTAACTTCTGATGTTAAAATTTGTGATTGATTGTTGGATCCAAATCAAAGTGATATTTGTGAATTGGATCTATAACAGCTTATCTTGGGATCAGATATCATTGACCGTGTCTTAAAATGTCTTTATATATAAACCTGCAACCCCAACAATTACAACTGCTCTCAAGAGTTGAACCAGCGGATGAAGAGGGCTATGCATGGCAGACATTCTACAGAAGGTGCCACTCAGAATTATAACAGAGTCAGCAGCAGTCTGTTGCAGTTTTATAACAGAATTCTGCATGTCTCATTCCATATTTGTTGCAAAGGAAGGTATTGATTAAGTGTGTGGGTCACTTCCTGGTAAGTTGGGATCCATCTTAAACAAATTCACGACATCAGCACATTCTTCAACTATGATTATGTTTCACCTCCAACCAAATCTTGCAAAGGCAAATGGCATGGGAATAGATGATGGGAGTAAGTTTTGGTGAAACTGGAAGCTTCTAGTCCTGAACCAGAAACAACAAAAGTAGAAGAGAAAATAATGACATAATCAAGATGCTGACCTTCATTACTGCACTAAACAAAAGGTTTGAAAGGATACTTTCATCAATACTAGAAAGATCTATAACATTTAGTGAACTTGACCAATTTAATTACCTAAAAAAATTAATGAAGATAAATTTAATCTGACAATAACACCAAGTGTTTGGTCAGTGAATACCGCCTGTTTCCCACTTGAAAACAGCTAAGCTTACCTTTATGATCAAAGATGTAATTTTTCTGCTTATGGCTAGCTGTAAAAGCACAGTGAAATAATAATTAACTTCTGATATTAAAGCTTGTGATTGATCGTTACATCCAAATCAAACTGATATTTGTGAACTGGATTTTATAAAACCTTATCCTGAGATCAAATGTCACAGAATCAGTCTTAAAATGTCTTTAGTCTTTAAAATGTCTGTAATGTATATAATGTTTCTTGAGAATCAGACTATGGTCTAGTTGAATTAAAACTTCAGTTTTAATGAATGTCTTACTATGTCCAATATTCATAAAATGATTTGCAATCTTTGAATATCTTTTAAAATTCATTTTTCTTGTTCATTAATTTTTATATTTTTGACGTTTTTTTCAGCTCCCGCTGTCAATATTGAAAATAACTACTCTACATTCATTAATCAAGAATTGGCTAAAAGTGATCGTCCTGAATTGACTAGTGCCAGCATTGTTATTTCTGGAGGTACGTTAGCAAATGATCATTTCATCCTTACGACTGAGTTTATGTGTGTATCTTTACTTACAGACACTTATTTGCATTTTAAAATAACCTTTTCTTTGATGAAAAGGTGACAAAATTTTATAATGTTCTGTTTCATTAGAATTTTTGTTGTTTCTCTATTGATTTTGAGATGCTTAATCTGAAAATCAAGCAGTTCTTCAATAAGATCAGCTTACAGTCTCATCACATTGAAATACCGGTGATCACTGAAGTTAAGCAACATTGGTCATTACCTTGATGTGTGACCACATGGGAATACCAGCTGCTGTAAGCTTGGAAGTGTGGGTAGTGTAATGGATGAGGGCTTGGAATTGTTAATTAGGTAGCTAAGTTTCAATTCCAGCTGAGTTGTTATATTCACTTACGTGCAAATACCCTTGAGAAAGGTATGAATCCCCCACTTCTCCCCCAGCTATGGGTTAATTAGTAAAACTTGTATCACTAAATCATTATTATCTCAAAAAAAAAGTTACTCCACAAAATTTTATTGCTTCTATATCATTACTGGTGAGGGTCTCTCATCAGACACTCACCAGTAACGACATAGTCAATACTTACAAAGGGGTGCTGAAAAGTGCTCAGACTAACTCACTTCCAAAAATCTGACCAAAAATCAATTTTTTTTTTTTTTTAATCCATTCTTGGTTGTGCTGAGAACATTTCAGTACTTTATTATAAAACTGAAGAAGATCAGTTAAAATTTCCCAACCCTTTGTGTATGTGTTTATGTGTTTATTGATATAATAAAAATGTCTCAGACCTAGCTTACCATATGTGATGAGAACTGGATGGACATAACCCACCCCAAATTACTGGTTCAGAATATCTCTCAGCTTTTATACGCAAAACTGTGACATTATTTATATTATTCGGACTATTGTCCTCATCTTTGTCACCATATTTATTACAACGTTTCGGCCGTTGTACGCTCTGGCCTTCTTCAGGTGGTAGGAAAATGTTATTTTGCTCACCGGGGTAGACTGTTCTAGTTCCATGTGCCATGTTTGATGGATGTCAGTTATCAGTTATCTCCTGTTAATTTCCCTCTGAAAGTTCTCCACTGCCTTAACCTGGTATTGAACTCACACTCTTTGGGTCCTGTCACTGGATCTGGCTTTATCTGGCTTATAAAAGTGTTGGTTTTTTTACTCCAAAACTGTGACATATGGCACACTAAATTTGTTTTCTCTTGTAAATTCTATTATTATTAGCTTATGGCCATATCATGTTGAAACATCAGTTCCTGTATGATTACCAAAGTTAAGCAACATTGAATCTGGTCAGTACCTAGATGTGTTACTTCTTAGGGAATACCATATGCTGTAAGCTTGTAAGTCCATTGCAGTGGAAGTGTTCAAAATCAGGAGGCTTTATTTATTTGTTTGACAATCTGATATTTTTAAATAGCAGATACCCTATTGATTTACTTTTATTTTAGCTTTCAGAAGTTTCATCACTTTGCATTTGTTTGTAATATTTGCCCAACATTAGTAAAGTCTTGTTTGTTTAATCTTTACAATGGGCTCATAGAGTAGAGCAAAGTGAACATTTATGGGTTTTGTGCATCCTGAATGGTTTTCAGCTCAGTTATGGAATTATATAAATGTTATTTGCATTTAAGAGCAAGATTAAAACAACACTTTCTCATTTCTAATTAATAGATAAGGGTTTAGCTTCATAAATCTTGGTCTGCATTGTAGATGCTAACTTAAAAAAAGAAAAAGCTTAAATTTTGTATTAAACCCATGTAGATTTCTTTTGGGGGTGGGGCTATTCAGCAACAAAAATGAATAAATATAGGAATAGAGGTTTAAATCATTAATTTCTGATAAAGACATGGAAAGTCATGTTGAAAACTGCTATTTGGTGCCTGGCATATGGTGCCAAATGCTGATAATGATCAATTTAATGTATGAAAGGAACTGAGTATATTTTAAATATTTTCCCAAGAACAATTTTCAATTACACTAAACAAGAGAAAAAAAAATCTGCTTCTAGCATTTTTTGTTAGTGTTATTTGAAGTTGGTGATGAGGCAGAGATAAAAAAGCAGGCAAAACATGGCAAAAAATTGTGTTTTCATTGAATTTCATGTTATCAAACCCCCAAATCCACTTTTTTTTAAAAATGAGCGTTAAGTTGAACCTGTCTATCACTTATCACATTCATTTCAACAAGATTCAAATGACTTTCCTAGCAAAAAGTCACATAAAATCAATTATCCAGAACTGATCACCTAAAACAAACAATTAGATATATTTGAGTTTCGATTAAATTCCATCAATATTAACTTGACAAACACGTGGCATTAGGACAAAGTTAGACAAGTTTTAAAATCCCAAGACTGTTTACTTTCAGGCTTGATATAGCATATATCACTTGGAACATGTGCCAAAAATGACAAATGTCTGCTTGTGAGCCCACTAGGAAGTCATATTTGCAATATTATATAGATATACCATAAGCTCTGTTCATTTGCTTGCTTTTCTAATATTTTGAAACCTAATTGTTCTTCATGAAATTTATTCTCTGAATTTTATGAGAAGAATTATTACTATTATACGCTTATTCAAACTGGTGTCCTCATTTTGGATGTTATAGTCACATTGTACCTGCTGCTCTTCTTCTGATACCTGTTGTAGTTAGTAACCTTTTGAACTGGACTCTTTGTTTAATCCATCAGGGTAAATTGTTATTATTCCATTCTCTATATGAGAGGATATTTTGTATTAAGTCATGGTGGCTAAAGCATGTCTATAATGAGAAAAACAAGTTGAAATAAATCAGTCTGTAGTAATGACTTCTGTCTATTTTTTGATAATATTTAAATGTCCAGAAGTATTTTTAAGCAAAAATTAAAAGGTATCTTTACAACATTTTATTATCAGATGATATAATAGCAGTTTTGTTTCTCTTACTAGTGTAAGAAGTAAGTATACATGTAAGTAGACTGTGCTTAATAAAATGTTTCTTGGAATTAGTTGTCCCATGTAAGTATTGATGTGTCAGAAAATCATATCTGTAATAAGACTGATTTTACTTTTTTTCACTGACCAGGTCGAGGAATGAAGAGTGGGGAAAATTTCAAGTTACTGTATGACCTTGCGGACAAGATGAATGCTGCTGTTGGAGCCTCCCGTGCTGCAGTTGATGCAGGATTTGTGGCCAATGATTTACAAGTTGGACAGACGGGAAAGATTGTGGCCCCGGTAAGTGCATTATATATTATCTTAAAATCAGGGAATTATGGGATGAAGAATTTGTTTTTCAGGCACAGTTGACTGTGGAAACAAAAGTTGATTGTGTTTGGATGAATGTAATTCAATATTTGGTGAATAATAGAATAATTAATAGATATTTGAAGAATTTATTTCATTCAAAGTACTTTTGTCTGCAAATTGTTTTCAGCACTTTAAGTGGAAATATTCTTTGTTCATAAGATATTCTATTATTGCACAGTTTTAGGAAATACTAAAAAGTGTTTATGTGGCGAATAAAGAAAACAGTAACCAGCGAGTAAATTCAAGCTCTCCCAGCTGGTATTTCAACCTTGAGTCGTTCCTTCTTGAGTTCTGTCTCAAAATCACACTAACTGCTTGTTCTTGCCACCAACAATGAACGTCACTCGAAGAACTCCCCAACTCGGAAAAAAGTAGTTGCTTTTATAGTTGTCCATATACCCATAATCCCTTGCGTCTTCATGTGATCCCATAATTCATTGTGTCCATGTCCCATGATGCATTGCATCTTTATTGCATAAAAATGCAATGCCAGTCCCCCCTCATTCTTTTACGTTATCTGGCCGAGGACAGATTACGGCAGAGTGGTAAGTGCTTTTTTCTCCCTCATTTCAACTGCAGTAGCTTTACATGCTAAGCAAATACGGGCTCTTTTTTGGCGGGGACAAGGCAAGTCGCGACCAGTTGTGCTTGTCCCAGGTTCTGTCTCATGTCCGCCACAGTTTACTTTTATGTAAATTTATGGAATCACAAAGAACTGTACCAAATAAAAGAAACCACATCACTTGAGGACTACCAACATCAACAACAATTAAAATGGAAAGTATGTGTAACTTGAAGAGAAAATAATGACATAATCAAGATGTTGACATTTTACACTACTTGAAATAAAATGTTAAGAAGGAAACCCTCCATCAATACTGGAGAGAATCATAACAGCTACAGGATTTTAGAAAGCTATTATCCTGAAAAATTGTTTTAAGAGAAAGGTTTATAAATTTCAACCAAAAGCAGTACCAGTCAATGTATGCCAAATGTTACTTTATAAGGAAACAACTAATATTACTATTACAGTTCACTAAAGTTTAGATCTTGAATTTTTAGCAAAATAGTCAATAACTCCATTAACTCATATTTATGTTAATGTATCATTTTAAATGTTGAAATTGGTTACTAATCTTTGAAGTCTTTTTCAATCTTAGCAGCATTGTCTAAACACTTTAGCTTCATTTTATAATGATGGACTTAATTAAAAATGTAAATTTAATTTCCACTTTATTATGAGCAAATAGTGCAAAAATTCAAATTGTTTAAATTTCTGATTGCTGTGTTTTCCACATTGGAAAATTTATTAAAAAATGGGAATCTGGAATAATAGAAAGTTTTACATGTCAACTTTTTTCTTTCTATAAATTCAAATGGAATTATAATATTGGTTCTGCTTTTCAGATTTTACAATCAAATTTAGCACATGAATGTCTAGTCATGTTTGTTAACGTTTTGCTTTATGTATTTTTATGTGTTTTAGTTCATACCTTTCTCAGCAATTTTGTAGTATAAAATGAAAAGCATGAAAAAATGTATATCCCTGCACCACTGGGACAAAAAGGCTCCTCTTGAAATTTTTATCAATTTTTTTGATTTTAAATACCAGAATAAAAATAAAAGTGTTTTTGCAAACTAATTAAAAAAAAAAAAAAAAAAAGCATGAGGAACTCGTTAGGATTGTGTTATGTGTTTCAAGTGAAATATTTTAAATTATGATGCTATATTCTAATTTTTCTCAGTTTTGTATTTATCTATTGTTTACTGTTGCTCTCGGAATTTTTGTTACTTCTATATCATTACTGGTGAGGGGGCTGTCATTAAGAACAATACATACAAGGTGGGTGCTGAAAAGTGCTTAGACTAACTCACTTATCAAAATCTAAATAAACATCAATTGTTTTTTTAATCCATTCTTGATTGTGCTGAGAACATTTCAGCACTTTATAAAATTGAAGAAGATCAGTTAAAAATTCCCAAACCTTTGTGTGTGTCTGTGTGCATTTATTGATATAATAAAAATGTCTCAGACTTAGCTTACCATATTTGATGAGAACTGGATGGATTTACTCCTCCTACTAAAAAAAAAAAATAATTACTGATTCAGAAAATATCCCTCAGCCTTTATATGCAAAATTGAGATATCTGCCAGGCCAAATCTGTTTTCTATTGTAAATTACAATATTATTATTATCTTATGGCCATATCATGTTGAAACATTAGTTCCCGTATGAATACTGAAGTTATGGATGATGACTCAGAATTTTTAATTGGCGAGCTGAATTTCAAACCAGTTGGGTTTGTTATATTCACTTGCATGCAAATATCCTTGAGAAAGGTACGAATATACCTCTTCTCCTCCTCCTCCTCCCAGTTATGAGTTAATTTGTAAGACTTTTATCACTAAATCATTATCTCAAAAACAAAAATTTCTGGCTTTAAATGACCTGCAATGTGTTGATAAGTTATTGAAAATGATTGAATGAGTCAGTTATTATTATTAAAGATTTTTTCTTGCCATCCTAATTGTATTTTTGCTCAATATTTTTTTCATCTGCACTGTAGAGATATAGTTTAAAAACATTAAATGCTTACCTCTAAATTCACAGAATTCTTTTCTTAATATTCTCTGCATAAAGGCCTAAATAAGAGTGAGGGTCTTCTATATGATGTCAAGTTTGGTAATTGCCACTCCCTTCTATCTTCTTTTTTTTTCTTCTTTTTTCCTTCCTTTTTCCTTCCTTTTTTTCTTCATTTTCTTCTTTTACTTTTTCTTTTTTTTTATTTATAACTTCCCAAAAATAGTCCTGTAATGTATTTTAGATGGTATCTTTCTTGTTTTAGGTTTCTTTTCTAAAAAAAGAGTTTTTTTTTTTTCAATAACAAGAATATGTTTTTGAGAATGTTGGTATTTAAGTTTAACAGCTTTCTTAGAAAGTTTTTATGCAGAATAAAGCTGAAAAAAAATCTAAAAAAATAAAATGGTCACTTACATTATTTAGAGTTGGATTAATGTTCTTATCTTTGTTCTCACAATGTTTCAACTGTTGCACCCTCTGATCTTTCTCAGGTGTCTGCCAATGTGGCTAACCTTCAGAGAGTTTTAAACTAAACCCTACATGGTAAATTGTTTTTGTTCTTCTGTCCATGTCTAGAATTACCATGTCTTGTTCTTTTTAGTGCTGCTCAGTTATAACTCATCCTGTTTTCACCGAGACTGAATCTCTGCTAGCTGGTCCAAGGATCGAACTCACAATTACTACATGAAGAAGGAGATGCAACAGCCGAAATGTGATAACAACAAAGATGAGGTCATTAGTCTGAATGTAAATAATGTAAATAATATGCAAATAACTTCTCATCCAAGAAATTTATGCAGAAAATAGGTGCTTGTTAAATTATTTTTGGTTTTTATTCCTGATATTTATATTTTTTACTGCAATAAGGACACATTACATTAAAGTGATTTGTGTCTGAATTTAGTGAAAATCACTTGATCTTGTTAAGATTATTTGGCAAGCGCATGTCTGTCTTGTGACAGATGAATGTATTCACATTTACTTAATGTATAAATCATTCAATGCTACCAATAGACACGTCTATAGATTTTTGGAGCTGAGTATACTGAGGTCAATTATAGAATGACCTGTTTGTTCTCAATTGAACATTTTGCTTACGATAAAGAATTTGCATTTAATAGTGATAACTCATGCTCGGCCAATATTTGACTTATTGAAAAGAAAAGTTCAATTTGCAAGTATTTGAGAAATAAAAAAAAAAAAATTAAAATTCTTGCTGGAGAATTATCAGCTGGAAATTATAGAATTATAATTATGAAGTGTCTTAAATGCAAAATAAAAATTAATTAAAAATTAATTAACTCCTGTCAAACACTGAGAAACGTATTGTTATGGTAACTGCTAATGAAGCAACCTCATAGTTTAATGATATCTTTTCTGCTGCCCACAGTGCAAGAAGTGATATAGAATGTAAAGATGATGACATCATCAATTGAAACTGTTTAACTATCTTTGGAAATATTGCTTCATCTCTTTTAACAATTATGTCTTTTCTTCCCTTCTTTTAATTTATATTTCCACTTGTGTAAATTTGTCTACTTAACTATATGTATGAGTGCATGTGTGTATCTATATAATCTCATACACATCAATATACACACACACACACACACACACAATCTCATATTTACATATACAAACACACGCCCATGATCTTGTGCAAGTACAAACACACGCACAAACACACATGATCTTGTACAAGTACAAAAATATGCATGATCTCGTACAAGTACACACACACACGCACGATCTGGTACAAGTACACACACACACACGCACGCTCTCGTACAAGTACACACACACACACGCACGCCTCGCATATTAACACACACACACACGCACGCCTCGCATAATTACACACACACACGCACGCCACGCCTCATAACAACACACACACACACACGCATGCTCTCGTACAAGTACACACACACACGCTCTCGTACAAGTACAAACACACATACACACAGGCACGATCTCGTACAAACACACACACACAATCTCGTACAAACAAACACACATACACACACACACACACACATGATCTCGTACACCTACAAACACACAGACATGATCTCGTACACGTACATGCAACACATGATTTCACACACGTATGTGCAACACACGTGCTCTCATACATCTACATATACATCTTATACATATGCTCCCAATCTCATATATGTCCTTATGCTCAGACTGTTTTTGTTCCATTGCTTATGTCTGGCAGGTAAAAGTGTTGTCAATTTCAAATCTTTTCATGTGTACCCACTTCTTAAAATAATGACCAGCATTCATATTTATGATTGTTATAGCAATATTTTGTTAAAGTAGTTAAGCTCAAATATTTAA